CGGTCTGATGGCCGAGTGCTGTGATGTGCCCAGTGTGGGCACTCAGGGCACTCCAAGCCAGGACTGCTTTGCAAGTGGGGAACCCCTGAGAACTATCTGTCCGGGGTGGGTGGCGGAGTGGCACTGTATGTGAAAGATAATGTAGAATCAAATGAAATAAAAATATTAAGTGAATCAACATGTTCCATAGAATCGCTATGGATAGAAATTCCATGCTCCAATAATAAGAAATTAGCAGTAGTGATATATTACTGACCACCGGACCCGGACAGCGGTACTGTCATAGAAATGCTGAGGGAGATTAGAGAGGCTACCAAAATAAAGAACTCTATAATAATGGGGGATTTTAATTACCCCCATATTGACTGGATACATGTCACCTCAGGAAGAGAAGCGGAGATAAAATTTCTCAATGTCTTAAATGCCTGCTTCTTGGAGCAGCTAGTGCAGGAACCCATAAGGGGAGAGGCAATTCTCGATTTAGTCCTGAGTGGAGTGCAGGATCAGGTCCAGGATATAACCGTTACAGGACCGCTTGGGAATAGTGACCATAATATAATAACATTCAACATTCCTGTGGTGGGAAGAACACCTCAGCAGTCCAGCACCCTGGCATTTAATTTCAAAAAGGGGAATTACACAAAAATGAGGAGGATAGTTAAACAGAAATTAAAAGGCACAGTGACTAGAGCCAAATCCCTGAAAGCTGCATGGAAACTTTTTAAAGACACCATAATAGAGGCCCAACTTAAATGTATACCCCAAATTAAAAAACATAGCAAGAGACCTAAAAAAGAGTCACCGTGGCTTAACCACCATGTAAAAGAAGCAGTGAGGGACAAAAAGGTATCTTTTAAGAAGTGGAAGTCCAATCCTAGTGAGATAAATAGAAAGGAACAGAAACACTGTCAAATCAAGTGTAAAAATGTAATAAGAAAAGCAAAAAAAGATTTTGAGGAACAGCTAGCCAAAAACTCAAAAAGAAATAACAAAATGGCTATGTCTAGACTGACCACAAATTCCGGAAAAGGGATGCAAATCAGGTAAGTCAGCATAGGGAAATCCGCGGGGGATTTAAATATCCCCCGCAGATTTAAATAAACATGTCCGCCGCTTTTTTTCTGGCTTGGGGAAAAGCCGGAAAAAAAACGTCTAGACTTGAAAGTAGGAATAAGAGATCCTCCGGAAAAGGGCTTTATTCCGGAGGATCGCGCCAGTCTAGATGCTTTTTTTCCGGCTTTTCCCCAAGCCGGAAAAAAAGCGGCGGACATGTTTATCTAAATCCGCAGGGGATATTTAAATCCCCCGCGGATTTCCCTATGCTGACTTACCTGATTTGCATCCCTTTTCCGGAATTTGTGGCCAGTCTAGACGAGAGATCTTGGAGTTATCGTGGACAGTTCTCTGAAAACTTCCACACAGAGTGCAGCAGCGGTCAAAAAGGCAAATAGGATGTTAGGAATTATTAGGAAAGGGATAGAAAATAAGACCCAGAATATCTTACTGCCCCTGTATAAAACTATGGTACGCCCACATCTTGAATACTGTGTACAGATGTGGTCTCCTCACCTCAAAAAAGATATTTTGGCCTTGGAAAGGGTTCAGAAAAGGGCAACTAAAATGATTAGGGGTTTGGAACGGGTCCCATATGAGGAGAGGTTAAAGCGACTGGGACTTTTCAGTTTAGAAAAGAGGAGACTGAGGGGGGATATGATAGAGGTCTATAAAATCATGAGTGGTGTGGAGAGGGCCGATAAAGAAAAGTTATTTATTAGTTCCCTAAATAGAAGAACTAGAGGACACCAAATGAAATTAATGGGTAGCAGGTTTAAAACTAATAAAAGAAAGTTCTTCTTCACACAGCGTGAAGGCAACCTATGGAACGCCTTGCCACAGGAGGCTGTGAAGGCTAGGACTATAATAGAGTTTAAAGAGAAGCTAGATAATTTCATGGAGGTTAGGTCCATAAAAGGCTATTAGCCAGGGGATAAAATGGTGTCCTTGGCCTCTGCTTGTCAGAGGCTGGAGAGGGATGGCAGGAGACAAATCGCTTGATCATTGTCTTCGGTCCACCCTCTCTGGGGCACCTGGTGCTGGCCACTGTCGGTAGACAGGATACTGGGCTAGATGGACCTTTGGTCTGACCCAGTACGGCCGTTCTTATGTTCTTATATATAGCAGAATTTTCAGACTTTTTTTTAATAAGAGGCCTTGGGCTGCCCTGAGAACAACGCTGCAGCAGAATACGGGCGAACTGATAGAACAGCAGAAGGAGTTAGTGCAGTATATTGTTCCATATTACTAACCTCTGCACTTTTAAAGTTATGCCCAGGGATTTCACAAAACAATCATGAAAACTTCATTTGTGTCAGATGTTCACAGCAGAATCTTCTGTCAGTGCTTTTCATCAAAGCTGAGAGCTTCACAAGAGCAAAACTTTAGAATTATGCTTTGGAGTATAGAACTTTAGTAGCTTTGGGAACTTGTGCGGCATATTTTTAGCGTGGCCCTAATTTTGCGTCCCTTCTGAATCCAAACTCCCATTCTATAAGGAAAGGACTCCTGCTGAGCTTCATTTTCAAATCCAGTGCTAGTCATGAAAAAATAACTTTATTTTCTTTGGGTATCCAATCCAAAACTCAATAATAGTGTCATATTGTGTAACTCTTCAGACATCTGATGAAATATTCTTTCAAATTTCTGAGACAGATTGTACAGTCCGCTCTTTACAGATGGCCTATAAAGGGGAAAAATTTGTTTATGCTACACTTTAAACATACTTTTCAGATACTCTTTCAACGTGATAAAGAAAAAAAAGTATAAAGACACAACTTTTTTTTTCTTTTTTTGCCTGTTTCTTTAGCTTAGACATATTGGGAACATCAAGTCTGGTTTTCCCTCATTTTGCTGAAAGGGTGCTGGGGAGGTATCAGTTGACATCTCATCTCTTTAATGGAGGGATAGGTATAGAGATGGTTGACATTTCCCCTAAAATATTTTTTTTTTTTGACAAAAAAGTGTGTTTCTTGATGAGATGGAAAAAATGGTTTTTGAAAAAAATTGTCAAGTTTTCACTGAAAATTCAAATATCTGAAAACAAGCACTGGCATATAGCATTGAAACTTTCAGATAGCTTTTCTTCCAGTCATTTCTAAAAAGTTTGAGTTTGAAAAAAAAAAGAAAAAAAACTAAAAGCGGAGCTTTAAACAAAATAATCAATTCTCTTGTCAACTGATCATATTTCATGTTTACGGTATCTCAGATGTCATAATCCTACTACTTGCCAATCACCCAGGCAGAAAAGATTTGAATTTCTGATATATACACATATGCGGAACTCTTTTCTATCTCCTTCATAAATCATAAATAAATACAGGCTTCAGGGGGTAGCTGAGTTAGTCTGTACAGGATAAACAAAAAACAACAACTAGTCTGCTAGCACTTTAAAGACTAACAAAACATGAAGATGGTGTCATGAGCTTTTGATAAAGCTCATGATACCAACTACATGTTTTGTTAGTCTTTAAAGTGCCACAATTAAATACAAGTATGCAGACCTTAAAAAATTAAGTAGCTGATAATGTTTCATGCTATGTTTCTGTACTGTCTGCTATAAAAACAAGACAGAATTGTTCAGACTATATATTACTGCCCTATTGTAATTCATATCAGAAAATACAAAGTGTTTCTTTAAATGGGTGAAATGCTGCAAAATATGGCACTATTTCACTTTTTGACACAGTGTATATAATTCACAGGCCAAAAGGAAGACATTCTCTGTTCAGACTTGGTGCAGAATCCAGAATAAACTAAATGACACGTCAGAAATTAAAATGTGTAATTTCAGCAAAGAAATAAAATGCTAAGGAAAATCTCCTACCACCAGTTTTCCCTTTTTTACATGTAGTTTTTATGTTCTAAAGAAATCAACCACAGGACTTACAGCTCAATGCTCTACCTCAACTGGTCCTTCAGAATATGTGCTAACTAC